AGCGAACCCGCGCTGCGCTTCCTGCCTTTTCGCTGGGCAGCTGGGGAAAAGTTGAAGTCTGGGTTTTCCACCCTGGGTGTATCCGGCTCAGCCTGGCTTTGGGAAAAACCCCCGGGAGCGATTCTGGCGCTGGGGAAGGCTGCGTGCCTTGGCACGGGCCGGGAAGGCTCCCGGGGTGGGATTCGGGATATCGGGAGCATTCGGCCGGCACGGGCAGGGAAGGGCAGCCAACAGCCCCATCCCGGGACACACAGCCACGGGGACAAACCTTTGGCACTGTGGGATGTGTGCCAGCACCTCTGGGAGCCATTGGCCACCTGGATGTCCCACGTAGCCCAGGAGGAGCTGACTGGAAGGGTGGATTGGGATAGGGAGGTAGAGGAAGGGTTTGGGGGATGCTGGGGCAGTGGTCCCTCGGGTCCCCCCACCCAGCAGGTGTACCCCACTGGATGAGCTCATTCCTCTGTTTTGGGAGGAGAGGGGTTAAGTTAAGGCATCCAGAGCTAAGCCCTGGCAGGAGGAGGCTAAAACCTCCTGGAAAACAAAGCTCATAAAGTGGTGGTAAGCTGGTAAAACCTGTGGGAATGTGGGTGCCTTTGCATGGGGAGTGGGGTCCTGGATGGGGAATGGGATCTTGGATAGGGAGCAGGGCCCTGGTTGAGGAATGGGATCTTGGATAGGGAGCAGGGTCCTGGATGAGAAGTGGGATCCTGGATAGGGAGCAGGGTCCTGGATGGGATAATGGGATCCTGGATAGGGAGCAGGGTCCTGGATGAGTAGTGGGATCCTGGATAGAGAGCAGGGTCCTGGATGGGGAATGGAATCTTGGATAGAGAGGAGGGTCCTGGATGGAGAGCAGGGTCCTGGATGGGGAGCAGGGTCCTGGATAGAGAACAGTCCTGGATAGGGAGTGGGGTCCTGCAGTGCCCTGGCAGCCCCTTTGCCTTGCACTCCCAGCTCCAGGTTATTTTGGGAACTAGTGGGATCCTGGATAGAGAGCAGGGTCCTGGATGGGGAATGGAATCTTGGATAGAGAGGAGGGTCCTGGATGGAGAGCAGGGTCCTGGATGGGGAGCAGGGTCCTGGATAGAGAACAGTCCTGGATAGGGAGTGGGGTCCTGCAGTGCCCTGGCAGCCCCTTTGCCTTGCACTCCCAGCTCCAGGTTATTTTGGGAACAATTGCTTGGCCAGGCTTCAAAAATGTGTTGGGCTCATTTTTGGAGGAGACAGGAGCCTGTGAGCTGTCAGCACGGGCCAGGCACTGCGGGATCCCCCAGGGCTGGGATTGGGAGCCCCTGGAAGGGGAGCCAGGAGGCAGAGTGTCCCTGCACTGGGATCGAGGTGGCTGTTGCGTGTACAGAGGCATTGGACAATTATTTTCCCCTCGTCCTTGCAAATCCCAAGTTCTCCGTTCACCTTTCAGCGAAGTTTTTCCAGGAGGCAGCCTGAGCCCTGCTCCAACCTCATGGGTGGTGCCCAGAGGGGACGTGCAGGTCGTGCTTGGACTCCCCACTTCTCCCTGAGCCCCTTCCTTTGCACCCCGGGGCTGTATCACCCCACGTTTATTGATTCTCGGTGTGTATGAAAGGAACAAAGAGGGCAAGGATTGATCTGGGCAAACACTATAAAGGAATCTACAGTTGGAGCCGGGGAGGACTCGGTTCATGGTAATTACCCTGGTTAAAATATAACCTAATGAACAGGCCACCTCTGGCCCCTGGGCTCCCGTGTCCTCCGAGTGCTGCCAGAGAGGTCCCCGAGGGGATTG